CATGTGGGTTATCGTAATTTGAATTATAACTATAATTTGGATGAGAATAACCTTAATAATGTTATAAAGTAAAGGGATCTTGGTGTAATAGTTGATCAGTCTCTAAAGCCATCCAAGCAGTTTGCTGTTGCTATTGGTAAGGCAAATAGGATTTTAAGTTGTATTTACAGAAATATTGAATATGTCTAAAGAGGTTATACTTTCATTGTACAGGTCACTGGTAAGGCCACATTTGGAATATTGTGTTCAGTCTTGGGCTTCTTACCTTACAAAAGACATTGAATTGTTAGAAAGGGTTACTAGAATGGTGCCTGGGATGGAGGGGTTGTCATACGAGGAGATCCTGAAATCTCTCAAATAGTTTTTTTCTTGAAAAAAGAAGAGTTAGGGGGGATCTGATTGAGGTGTTTAAGATTGTAAAGGGAATTGATAGTGCTGATGCATCACCTTTTTTCATATTTAACAGCGACAATAGTAGGACTAGGGGACACAAATATAAATTTTGGCAGACAGCTAAGACAGTTTCATTTTTCTAACAGGATGTTTGTCCTTTGGAATGGGTTGACTTCAGATGTATTAGTTGTAGTTAAGTACAGTAAATTTAAGTGAGTTTAAGAAAAAGCTTGAAAAGTATATGAACGATAAGGGATGGCTTTAAGATTATTTTAACTTAGTTTAGAGGATGGAACAGCTGAGATGGACCAATAGGTCCCATGTTGTCCCAAAACATTATGTTATGTTGTCAACAAAATCTCACATACCACACAGCTGAAGTATACATAATAAAAAACATCCAACCTGTATACGTTAAGATAGAATGAATGAGGTAAAGTTCCACAGTAACTGTATATGATCTGGTCAGTTAATAGAAACTTACAGTATGTGTGAATAAAGACATTATATTTGTCTGCTTATGTTTCTTGTTTTCTCATAATGTTTGTAATTATTTTCTACACTTTTATGATAATTGATACTTTACTGGTGGATGTTAGTGTATCTATAAACCATAGAGGAAGTTATACATTGTATGATACTTGAATATGATTTAGTGAAGCATGATTTATATTCAGACTTGTTATAGACAAATCTACATTATTTATACTTCTACCAACAGGAGAAGCTGGTTCCTTACAAGAAAGATCTTTACATACCATTTTGAACTCTGATTTAGTAAAAGAGGAACAAGAAGAGAAGTATGAAGCAACAGAAAAAACTGAGGTAATTTGTAGTCTAAAGATTTTATAGTTTTATTATTGAAGTGATTGTATAGCTGTAATGATGTCTTTTGGGGTTTAATTTGACTAGAACTGAATCATTGTTCAGATGTTTATAGTCAGAGTACTAAGAAATTCAGTACAAGTTTAGTAAACTGTTCTCTACTGCTGTTTTACTGTTATTGTATCATTAATGATAGAAGTCCGCAGACATTACTATTCTTATTGTAACATTAATGGCAGCTGTCTACAGATATTACACTCTTGATATTGTATCATTACAGTTGAATTTCTACCTAAAGCTATGTGTGACAAAAATGAAACTGCCTTTCTACATATTTTTGTGCTCATTAAAAAAGATTAAAAGAGTTTTAGTTTATATTACACATAACTAACTGTGAAATGTTAGTTTTATTTCATCATATTTTACATTAGTGAACTGGAGATGATATGTATTTGTTTACTTTCGTGATAACATTAGTTATTATTTTTATTAACCTGTTGAATATGTTGTTTGGTTTTAGAACATGTGTGTCACGGTGACAAAAGAACAGTCTGATGATTTACCACAAAGTGAGGTTATTTCAAAGTTCAATGAAAGTAGTGATGATGATTTGGATAGTTCAAAATGTGATGTTATCAATGTGAAAACAGAAACTGAATTCAAGGAAGATTTACAGTATATTGAATCTAGGTTAGATAGTACATCTGGTAAGTAGAAACATCTAAAAACTGTATATTCATTAACACTGGCTTAAGAGAAATGGTTGAGTTGTTGGTAATCTTGTGGAAATGATTAAACTGTGTAATACTGTTGAGTCAGCAAGGTCACGTGACTAGTATCACACCACCTCCTTTCTAGAAATATCCTGTTCCTTCAAGAATGCCCTAGCATTTACTAGATATGTATTAGTCTTGTATATATATAAGACGGTCACAACGTGACGGGACACCAACGTATTGAGTAATTGAACTGCAGTCAGAGAGTGTGTGATTGAATTGAGTATTGTTGAAGTCGAGCACGTGAGACGTTTGTTATAGCACAACTGTTGAAATTAAGTGTATCGCAAAGTTATATTCGGAAAGAATAAACCAGTTTTATTTAAGAAAGGACTTGTGTCGCTAAAGTTTCGTCGCAATGAAGTTAAGGAAAATTAATTAACAAACGGAGACGTAACAATACTATTAATTTAAAGTGTATCAGATATTTGTATCTTGTGTTTTTATACCTCTACTTCTGAATTATTGTGTGGAATATTTTGAAGTGAAAAATAAAATGACAAAAAAAATGGAAAAAATGTCAAAATTACATTTGAAAGGAAATGGATTAATAGAACAATCACTGTTATTATAGAATGAAACAAACTTTTTAACTTAGCAGTTATTTGTCTTATCTTCATAATTCTTTATGTATACACTTTTTAAATAGTGGTTGGAATCAGTTTCTCTAGATGAGTATTTCAACATGTAAAGACAAAGTTCTGCTGTGAGTAGTAGTTGGAACCAGTTTTTCTAGATTAGTATTTTAATATGTATAAGGAATGTGCTGCTGTGAGTAGTGGTTGGAACCAGTTTTTCTAGATTAGTATTTCAATATTTATAAGGAATGTGCTGCTGTGAGTAGTGGTTGGAACCAGTTCTTGTAGATTAGAATTTCACCATGTACAGAGAATGTGCTGCTGTGAGTAGTGGTTGGGATCGGTTCTGTAGATTAATATTTCAACATGTACAAAGAATGTTCTGCGGTGAGTAGTGGTTGGAACCAGTTCTTGTAGATGGGTATTTCAACATGTGTAGACAAAGTGCTGCTGTGAGTAGTGGTTGGAACCAGTTCATGTAGATTAGTATTTTAACATGTACACAGAATGTGCTGCTGTGATTGTGTTTCTTGTATTTCATGTTTCTTACCACTCGCATCCTCTAGATTCTAGGATATTGCTGGTAATGAACCTCAAGTCTCCTAATTTTTCATGCTGAAACAAAACATTACACCATTTATAGTAAAAATAATCTGTCCTAAACTTGATAATAGAATAAGCAACATATTGATAAACAGTTTCATGTGGTAAAGGTTTTCACATATTTAAATATTTAACTTGCATATAGATCTTTTGAAGAAAAACTTTTGACATTGGCTTGGTTTCTGGGACTGAGTCACATGACCTTCTGTACTCTTTTAAAGTTGACATAAATTTAATACTTATAGCTCTATATATTGGGTACATCTTCACGAAATTTGGCAGTCTTTCAGTTAATATTACAAGTCTTTCACATACAAAAAGTCATATTTCTTAGTTAAGTACTTTGAATAAAAAAAATAAAGCTTTGTCCATGAATATAATGAGTATTTGTTAAGAGTAGCCAGTGTGCAAAGTAATTTTCATGTTAAAATTAAAAATACTTTTCGCAATCTCAAAAATCTCAAATTTCCTTTGTGTAATCCCTAGAACCTCTTAAATGCATTTCAAACGTTTTTTTTTTCACTAAATCCTTATAGTTTATATATTATTTTCTCTACCCTACTCTCAAAATGGGATCAGTCAAATCGACCAA